AGACACTGTGGAGGGCTATAGCGATCACAAAGCGGTTTTTCTTGACTTTGACGAAAATAGCTCAAAGAAATGTATTACGACCAAAACGAAAGTACCACAGTACAAGAATGCAATTGTAGACGGGCTTCAATGTTTTTAAGGGAACAATACAACCGCTTTCTGAGAACAGAGATATGGAAGAAATATGGTATCGTTCAAAAATAATTTAGACAAAGCTTCACAAACGTTTGTAACATGCAATTTAAAAAAAATCGGATCCACATAATACAATGCAAAAATTAGACGAAAGGAGAGGATAAAGCGAAAAGCATTTAATAAAAGAAAATATATCATTTGAATATTTTTCAAAGTTGTTCAAAATAATTAGAGCGAGAAAAGAAAATTACTCAGGGGACGTATTTAAAGAATACTCTAGACGGCAAGGAAATAACTCGACAAGGTTTTATAAACATGTAAATAGAAGAAAAGGAAAAAAAGTATATCCCAGTTGTACTTGAAAATGGAAACATATTACAGAGTGAGTTACGTGCAAATTGATAACTATGCTTGTAACTGAAAATCAATAAAATAACAACAACAAAAAAACTAAGGTAGTAGAGCCGAGGCGATATCGGACGGAAAGATCGCGGATTCAACTCCCGCCTCAGGCATGGGTTTGATTTCTACGTCAGTATGTTTGTGTCGTGTATTCACACTTAATTATAATCATTTCGTATCACATACCTCCAAAACTAGCAAATCCTGGGGGATAAAAATTAGATTCTGCGTAGAATGCTCACTCTACCCTAAAGGAGTCACATACGTACACTTGCCAAGGGATTCATGTAACTGAACTTCGGGAAGTGCAGGCCAATTCGCATCCAAAACACAAAAATAAACAAAAATAATAAAATTAAATTTCAACAAAAATTTTTCTCGACTTCATAAACATGAAATTAAGCAGATTTTTAAATTAACAATTTATCTACTTCCAAAAATTCGATGGGAGGTGTTAATCTCCCCACCAAATCTTCGCCACTGGTTGTAAGCATTGTTAATATACAGAAAGAAACTCTAGAAGAGTGTTCTAAAATTCCTCAGACTCAACGTGTTACGAAGTCACACGTCCCAGAAATCCTCGAAAACAACAGTATCTGAGAAATAGTTCCGAAAAGGGAAACGAAGAAATCTCTAGAATTTAAAACTTTATAGGCGTAAATGGTGAAAAATAGTATATTGACCTAAAAATAGGGGGGAAATTTCGTATGATTTACAACGGGAAATGAGAAACATAAAATGTACTACTGAAAATGTAGATGTGTGTCTGCAGAGCGATATGAAAGAATGGAAGTATTTAGTGTATAACTGCCAAAGCACCGAACCATAACGCATCCTGAAAACAGGTGGCTGGGAAACGATATATTGCGTTAAAAACAGAGTAAACTAATTCTACAAAATAACCAACAACAATTTGCACATCTTGAACCATTTGTCTTTGTAATCCGGCACTAAACAGAAAGCATTTTGACATTGGCACGTGTATCCCCTCCACCTGTTTTTCCACAAAGTAAACTCCGTCCCAGCAAATCAACGACATACGACATAAAGTTATTATTCTTTGAGAAGTCGTTGATGTAAATCAGTTTCATGATTGTCTGAGGTGGAATGAAATACCTATAATATGCGAGATACAATAAGAAAGCTAATTTCCCGAAGAACTGCGAAGAATTTCCCTCAGTTTCATGTGCCGAGATGGAGATCATATGACGGAAGTAACTGAAGAAGGAAAATATCAAATTAATTTTAATGCACAAATTTTAAAAATATTTCGTTGAAACTACGAAATGTTAAGAAAATACGTATATGAATCAAATAAGTTAAGTCATATTATTATTTGTTAAATAATTGTTAAAATACTATTATTTATTAATAATATTTAAATGGTATTTTTTCAGCCTGGGTACATTTTGTCATGTCTCTTATTTATCATGAAGCAAATGAAAAAGTATATATAAATTCAGTATGAGAATTGTAAACGTTAACAGAAATATTAACTTCTGCAGCTGCGGTCTTATGATGAAAAGTCTTCTTTTTGCGCTTAAAAAAATACTTTCTTATAGTGCGTAAGGAACGATACCAGCGCGGTAAAACTGTTGTTGAACTCGATTTTTATGAAATGTTAGTGTCGAAATTTACACGACATATATTGCATCAGGTTGCAGATCAGTTTAACCTACCTAATGATGCCAAAGCCGTGTTCTCGCCTCGAAGAAAGAGGTCCGTGCCGCATTGCGAGTCAAGGTATCTAAAAAGAATGTAGTATTTATTTTATTAATATTATTAATTAATTACTATTGTTCTCTATATTTCTACAAGACTAATTATACCTCTAATAAATACTACCTGAGGTTTGGGGTAAATTTCTCTCATCACTATCATGTTATATCCTTGATCAATTGAGCAATGCTGAGATAGCCCCGTGTTTTGCTTATGGATATGCTAAATGGAGATTCGCAATTAGTGCACGTTTCCTTGGGCTCATTAGGAATAATAGGGGGAATAAAGTCGGTCAAAAAGTAATCGTTTTTCGTATTCTCCCGACAATAAGTTGATTGATTTTCGAGGGGCACGATAAGAGATAGAAACCAGCATATGTAGTACTTTTGCAGTAAGAGTTTTCATTGCCTGGTATAGTGCAAGTAACTAAATTGACCTATCAGCTATTTCATTAAATCACACTGCAGGGCAAAATACATGCAATTGAGAAAATACACATACAGTTAACAGAAATGGTACGCAGATTTATTCATTAGTGATGGAGGGCATTCCTGATATTACCAACGTCCTACGATCTGCAACATTGTCAGGAGTGTCAAGGGTGAATTTGAAATTAGGAAAGAGATTTTTCAACTAACGTCAATAAAGAAAACTACCACTTACTTCGAAATATTCACATGCACTGAGAAACGAAGACTAACATATCGAAGACTTGAAACGAACAATGGAAGCGTTTGTTGTCAAAATATGCTGATTCCATTTGAAAACATTTTATTTTACAAGAGAAACAAAAACATCGTGCCCACAGGCACTTTGCTCTGGAGAAATGTTCTCAGCAAATAGGTGGAAACAGTATGGTCTTTAACCGTTTGCGTTTTATAACCTCTCCCGAGATTATTTAAGACTCCCTAAACAGCAAAAATGCAAAAAATGAATTTTACTAAGTAAAATAATGATCTGGTTTTGCTAGCAAATGTTTCAATTCGAAAGTCTATATTTGCCCATTTCGCTATTGTTATCACTTTCCTGTTCTCCGGCCACTTCACAGGATATCTGCTCTTCGCAAAAAACCGGTTCGCCGTGGAGCAGAACAGAATCAAAAGCATTACACAGCACGCTATTGGCTACCACCTGTCATTAGTATATTTCACGCTTCGCACCAATTGTAGCCACTCTCGACAATTTCTAAATCGTTCATGTCACAATGCAGATTTAAGTCAAAAATACGGTATTACATACAAATATTCACAGTGATATTGGGCCAACTTTGTTTTGGAAAGGCAACTACGTGCTGTAATTTTTCATCTTAAATGGATAGCTCGTGAAAGGGGAAAATAGTGATATATCGCTTGTTAATGTTTGAATAGTATTAAATTTACTCTAAGGATGGGATGAAGCAATTCCTACCACGAGAGCTGTATGTGATGCACAGCACCAAGGAAATATTTACACATAGCGGAAAGTCACGGACGGACTACGCTCCTAATTCTTTATACATGATATAATAGTTCACATTTTGCTTTCTTAAATGATGACTGCTCCACAATCAGCAATCGCTAGACACACAATTAACTTGGCAACAAAGATTATAATACCCCATTAAACCATAATCTTCAAATATTATTTAAGCATTTCTTTAATGCCAAAGAATGCAGAGAAAAGAGAAGAATATATTTCTTTTGCGTTACACAGTTAATGCAAATTTACACTTTGCAAACCTAAAAACAAATGAATTTACAAGTCATTTTACGTTTTACTTTTTACTAGCGAATGCATAGCACAAACAAGAGAGGAAATTTATTCGAGAACTTTGCACACAAAGTTTATGATATTTTTTATGCCGATATAATTAAAATCGGATATGCAAGTGCACATTGAATCATGTCCTTCTGCCAATAAAATGGAATTCAGATAACAACGGTAGATTATCCATCTTTCTAAACAACGAGTTTCACGAACGAAACACGAAATATCTGGGTTTGGTAAACAGAAACAGTTATACAATGTAATAATTGTGATAAACATTTATTTGGAAGAAACATTTTCAACATTCCTAAGAATTTCATCATTTCAGTGATGTTTCTCATACATTTTAAAGGAGAAACTTCAAGAGACGAAACAAAATCTCATACAAAGATTACGTCGTAGCTACAATATACTTGAAACATTTAAATTGCACCAATACGCATGATTTAGAAAAACAAATGTTTAGAGGTCAATGGTATCTGTTTACATAACAATGTTATATTTTATTTAACGCAGAAAAATATTGATCAATATCATTCATTGGTTTAAGAAATGTTTCACTGACACTCTACAGGTCGCCAGAACTTGCACTACTACGAGTCAGTGCGTCCATTGCTCATTGTATTAAATGAAGCTTGCGGTGTTTTAAAATGAACGTGAAGCATTCATATCGCCAGGTAAAAGTAGCACATATACGAGTATGATACCTGATACTTTTTTTTTCAAATACCTACTGGCAATGCCTTCGCTGCATATTTCATTAACCTGACACCGCAGCAATTTCCTTATCGTTCGCAGCGTCTCTCTTCCTTCGGCTCTCAAGCTCCTCGCTAGGTAAAACACGTGATCCATGACGTCACTCCGTTGCCAGTTAACCGGGTGGCGCTACTTCAGTCGCCAGTTGCGGACTTAGTAGCAGGCAGCTCATCAGACGTGCTGTACACCGCGTCCGCGAAACTCGGAGACCGCACCTCCATCAACAGCCAACGTCGACGAATATGGCAACATCTAATCTGCCAACGGCGTACACAACTGATCCACAGGCCAGTGCAGAATCTGTTAGAGAAGAACTCTACGCAGCCGCTGCGTGTGGAGACGTCAAGACAGTCACTCGTCTGATTCAAGACTGTCGTGTAACAGATCACTTGGACGCTCCTGATGCGCGTGGAGTAACTTTGGTGACTGCTGCTGCCTGCGGAAGAGACGAGATAGTGCACCTTCTTTTGCAGTCGGGAGCGGATATGGAAGCGAGGCTCCCTGGCTCGGAGTTCACCTCGCTTCTCGCAGCTGCAACCATGGGCCACGAAGAAACCGTGCGCCTCCTTCTCGACGCCGGCGCAAACGTCGGCGCCAGGGACGTGTACGGCCACTCCGCCCTCGCCCTGGCCTCCACCTACGGCTTCAGCCGCGTCGTCAAAGTGCTCCTCGAGGAAGGGGCCTACCCAAACGAAGAGAACAACTTCGAGAAGAGTCCACTTCATTATGCTTGTACTGGAGGTCACTTGGGTGTCGTGATCGTTTTAATAGAAGCTGGTGCCAACAGAGAAGAAAAGGATGGTGATGGAAACACGCCGCTTATATTAGCTACCAAGGCTGGAAAACAAGAAATTGTGAGGATTATCTTGACGGTGGGTGTGGATGTGGAGAACGCTAACTACGAAGGAATGAAGGCCGTACATTATGCTGCTGCAACAGGTAATGCATGTATTCTTAATCTGCTGATCTTGGCTGGTGCTAATTTGTCCAGCAAGTGCTTCGAGGGAAATACTCCTTTGCATTATGCTGCCTCTCATGGCCACCAAGTCGTGCTTCGCCAGCTTCTATGTGCACGTGCCGGCAGAGACACTAAAAACAATGATGGGTCAACACCGCTTCATATGGCGGTTTTGCACGGTCACGTTGACATAGTAAACGACATCGTTACTGCTGGTGCTGATATCGAGGCGAAGGACAATCGAGGCATCACGTCCCTCATGGCAGCTTCCCGTGAAGGTTTTCTGTCAATCGTGCGATTTCTTCTGTTTTTGGGAGCCAACGTTCACATATGGGACTTGGAAGGTCACAGAGCATTGCACCACGCAGCTGCTGGTGGGGATGTGAATGTTGTAAGAGTATTGTTAGCAGCTCAAGCAAGCTGTTTGGCACTCTCCAACACAGGTTGCACTGCGTTGCACTGCGCCGCGCTGGCAGGTAATGAAGCGGCCGGTCGCGTGCTCGTGTTGGATGGAGCAGACCCGAACGCCCAGAACTTCACAGGCGCCACACCACTTCATTACGCTTGTGCTGGAGGGCACCCCCAAATGGTGCGGGATTTGCTGGCGGCGTACGGGAGATTGGAAGAAAGAGACGTAGAGGGTAACACACCACTCGCTGTTGCTTGTATGAAAGGTCACGATGATGTTGTCGGACTGCTTTTGGAACGTGGAGCAGATGCGAATGCTCCCAACATAAAAGGGATCACTCCATTACATCACGCTATCAAGTCTAAGAATGCGAAGACAATACACACCCTGCTGCAAAATTCTGGGGTGAATATTCACATCAAAGATAACAATGGGCGCACTCCCTTAATGTGGGCAGTGTTGTCAGGGCAACTGGAAATAGTGCACGCGCTCTTGTTGTTGGGTGCTAATATATTGGCATTGGACAACGAAGGGTGGAATGCGCGACACATCGCCACACACAGAGGCCACAATGACATCGCTTTGTTGCTACAAAGGAGGCAAATAAATGGCTTAACTTTCATGGTGCTTCCTTCCACCACTCCGGCGCGGAATGGTTAGATCCAGCTGATAATTTTAACTTTAACATGTAAGTACACAATTATGGTTATATTATTTTCTTTCTAATCTGCATGCATTAATCCAAAAAAATTAAAGTGGCGAAGCCGACGTCTTAATGTTGTTTAACTTGCTACAAACGTAAGAAATTGGCAAAAGTGAAAAAGACTACTACTGTGAAATTATGAATTTTAGGTAGAAAACGTTTTTAAAGAAACTATTGAAATACAGATATTTGAATTAAAATTTATTTATTCATTTTAAATTAAATTTATTTTAAAGTATTTAAAGAAATGAGCTGAAGTGTAGTATACGGTACAACCTAAGGAAGTCATGTAAACCGGCACTTCGCGCCGCTCCGGCGAAGAGGAAATCCACGATGGAGGAACGAGGGGTGTTTCGTGACTTGTGTTTTTGACTGTCAAGTGTGTGCTACGATGGTGAGAATACACGTGGGGTTTTTTGCGCATTGCCCCTAAGGTGGTGTTTCTTCCATTTCTGTCAGAGCGCTTAGCGTAATTTGAGGGAGGGATAGAGGAGAACCCTCCCCCCTTCAGCCCTCCCCTCCCTTCCCTCTTCCCCCTGCCCTCCTCGCCACAATGTTTCTCCAAGGGTGTACCGTGTACTGAACTTCAACCAAGAAATCAAGTATCCAAGAAGTTTTTTTTACAGTCAATTCCTGTAAAACAGTGTAGGGTCTAAAACATCAATTATATTTCTAATAATTTTCACATTGATGAATACCGAAAGTTTTATGATTTATCTGTAAGCATAACATTTTATACTCTTTTAATTGCCAAATTCAACAAACTGATCAATTGACATAAATGCAAAAGGGTCTACGGAAAATTACCTATAAAATGTAAACTTATCGCTTGATCAACTATCTCGAAAATTCAGTTTACAGATAAATTTGCACAGCTCAAATACCGGGAATTTAGACTCTTAGACACATATAGTACTGTAACATATCGGTGTACAAACAAAGTATGCCAAATGCATTTAATGTTGCGCTATGTTTTCATCGAACTGAAGCAATGGCGAACTATCTTGTTAATGCAAAGTATAAGCAGCATCAACAGCTGAAAACGTGTCCCCGTGGGTTCAAGTAGTACATTAAGGGTCCACGTAGCCCCTTATGACGGTACTTCACATAAAACGACTACTTTCTTTATGCTTTCTGAAAAATGCCCACAAACAAATTTCTAAGTCTTTTGCTAGAGTACAGGGAAGTGTGACTCTTATATTATTAAAGACTGATTATTTTGTAAATCATGTTGTTAAATGAATCTTAATGTCACGTACTCATTTTTTGAAAATGTACATAATTTTCATAATAACATCTTCAAAATTTTCTAAAAATTGTTGAAATATTTTTTTTTCCTTCAATTGAGCAAAAGGTGTTTAAAAAAGCTGTCTCATTTTTGTTGAATTTTTTTAATTCTCGAAAAATGCAAAGGTTAGAAATAATGCTATAAATTATGTGCTTTTCAGATCACGACATAAGTTTATCAACGTTTGGCATATAGCACAGTGCCTCTCTTCCCCCAAAACCGGAATTTCTGCAGATCTTGAAATCAGGAGAGACAAAACTACCACCAAAAATGTAATAGTAAAGTCTCAAAGATTTTTCACAACAAAATTGCTGTCTCCAGAAACTATAACCTTTAAAATATTGGTTTGAAGTGAAAATAACGTCCCACTGGAACCCATTCTTGGTGTTTTTTTGTCAAACCTTGCTACGGAGTGACGGATCCATGAACTACATTTAAGGCTAGATTTATCCACTTTTTCGATACTATGGCCGCACAATACGCACTTTGACTGTTTAAAACTCAGTCTGTCTCGGTACCACTTAAGTGCGTAGTATGGAGAAGTAAAAAAATAGAATAGAGTATCCAGAAAGGTCTCCTTTTATTATCTTCTGTGTTAAAATCACAACTTGCGTCCCACGGGAAACTACAAACCAGCCTTTAGGACGCATTCTCGAGCAATGAGCGACGATAACGTATGTTGAGCGTACTGCTTTTTGCGGGTTCAATGCGTCTGATAATATAAATGAACCATAATCTTTGAACTATACTTACTGTTGAAATCGTTTTTGATGCACCTCTCGTAGGAGATAATTCCCTATTCAGCAGTAAATCACTTACTGTTGTTTTTTTTTGTTCATGGTTTCCTGTTGAATGGGGGGGAGGGAATCAGACAACATTCCTTAGCGTAATATCTAAAGATGCTATACAGTTATATATGGTGACTCTCCAATTAAATGTGACATGGAAATACTTATAGTACGTATCGTAATAAAAGTTCGCAAAAAAAATCTGCACTTTGAAGGGCGAAACACACCAGTCTTGTAATGACTGCCCGCATCCAGTTTGCATGAGCGGCAGGAGCTGGCAGCTTTCAAATTTTAAATATAATCCTTAGAAAAGTGGGTAACTTGAGACATATGTATTTTTTGATCATTCATAAATATGGCTGCAATATACCGTTTCACAACTGTTCCAACCTCATATCTTCTCAACCTTTGACGATATCAAAATGCAGTTTTCGCTCAACAATGCGGAATCATGAGGCAAGTGGTACATTGTAGAGATATTGTTCGTATATTTTTTTAGTTTTTGAGGAATTTTATAATTTTTGATATTTTTTTAATGAAACTACACATCTTTCTCAGTAACCATTCATAGATCATAAAAATAGGAATATAATGATGTTTTATGTTATTGCTCTGACAGTTGTTTCACTATAAAATAATTCTTTGAGACGTGATTTTTAAATTCAACAAAAATTTTCTGTAGTAGCCCTTGCAAGTGCGCCTTTGGGGAAGGTGGCTTCATCATCGCGCGGACGGTTGCGCGGACGGTTGCGCGGACGGTTGCGCGGACGGTTGCGCGGACGGTTGCGCGGACGGTTGCGGCAGCGCATTTACAGCTCTCTGTTGCCTTGACTTGAAGGATACGGAGAAATCATTTATATTAACGATCAGTATGAAATTTTTTCCCATTCATTCATCCATCAGAGCTATTTTTCACTCATTGAAATTCCAAAGCATAGAGTATTGAAATGAAGGACATAGAGAAGAAGTTGGTAGTGTAACAAGTCATTTTTAGACTTATCAAGAATCGAGCTCGATAACTAATTGCTGTAGAACAAGCCAGCATTTTAATACAATCATTTTCAAACAAGTACAAGCACAGGGAATGAAAAGTTGAATATTTTGTATTCGAAATATCCAAATAAGCAGAGTGTAGAAATGTTAAAATGTTGTGTATTGACGTTACTTAACTTCTAAACCGTTACTAAACCTCTTAACCAGAAGTTTAGTTCTGATAAATCAGGGGAAAATATCTTTCATTCTCATCGTTAATATTGATATTTTTCCTGCGTCAGTCACGACTAGGCCACGCAGTTAAACCTTTTTCCCCCGTTGCCACACCGCCCAACCACCCCTCTTCAGCAAGTCTCGGTGCCGGGAAGGCCACCTTTCCCGAAGGCAACAGTTGCAAGGGCTGCTACTCGAAATATTGCCTAATTAATTCAAAATCAAATGTCGAAAATGTTTTTTAATATAAAATTAGACTAACATATAATGCATCGTCGCATTCCTCTGTTTATGATCTAACCATTGCTGGTGAGAAAAATGTATAGTACTATTTAAAAAATTGAAGATAATAAAATTTCTTGATAATTAAAAATATTTAAAACAATATCTCTACGGCATATTAATTGCCCCATGATTCCGCATTGTTGAGCAAAAATTGTATCGACATCGTGAGCAGTTTAGAAGGAAGGTCCGTAGTTGGTGGGACATCCTGTATTAAGCGATTTTTTCAAGGTTTCTTCGTGCGGAAAGAGCTAAGCATTACAAGAATAGTTTAATAACGAAGTTTTAAGTTTTAAGAAAAGTTTAATAATAACATTTTTTCATAAATATTTCTTGATATAAAAGATTATTGGAAATTCTGTGACTGAAGCATCACCGCCTTTGTTTCGCCTTCCACCTGTCTAAAAGGAGCCGCACTCGCAGGATAGGGAAGCTGATATTCTCTCGATTTGACAAACGAGGGCGATCTCTGTTTAGGACTAGTCTCTTACATTAAACGTTAAAAATAAAGTGGAACAAATCATAATATCAATGAAACTGAAAACGAGGGTTATATTCCAAAAATCCATATATCCATTTAGATGAGAGCAAAAGACACTAGCCTGTAGTAATTTGCGGAAACCAATGAAGGATAATAGGACAAGTTATTTTTAAAATATGCGAGAGAGATTCACTACACACATAAAGTCTTGTACATTTTAAAGTTAGTCTTCATCTACCTGTAATTCTAATGTACAGAGAAAGAAATCCTATATGATTTGTTGTATACTAACGTAATATTTTAGCTCTGAGGTCAACATTTGTCGAAAGAAAAAGCTGTTTTCAAAAACTGAGAAGCTTCAATTTCAGCCACGAGGTCATTATATCAATGGATCAGTCATCGAAATTATAGAAAAAAAGTATTCCCAGACTTGATAAAAGCAATACTTAATTATCTTTCGCTGAAAGAAGCTTCACATTACATTACATTGCATTGTACTTATCAGATATAATGGAGTTATTTACCCCAAAACGGTATTCTCACATTTGTAATGAAATATACCCTTGCGGTTCTCAAATTCACAAACATTCGCTGCCATGTATTATATGGCTGTATATGGCGTCAGCAACGACGATTCGAAAAATATCCACTCAAAGGTCACAGATTTCGGAGTATCACTAAACGGTCCCACTCGCATTCAGGTCGAATTCAACCTCGGTCACATACAGGAGAATTGTACCGGCCGGCTTCGTTGATAGTTTTTCCCGGTTTCTGCAAGCAACACAGGCGAATGTCGGAGCAGCATCCTAACACGGGCAACGGACCACGCCCGATCTTACCTTTCTCTTCCCTTTTCTATATTCACACCTTACTTACACGAACTAAACTACTACAGATGTTGGAAGACCAGAAGGGAACTTCGAGCTTGTCTCAGCTAGGGTGGTGCCCCGCTGGTGAACAGAAAAACACCGTCGGCCGACGTGTAGTTCGGCACCTGATCTTCCCATCCAGCGGAGTAGGATCACCGTCACCACATGTGATTAAAACATGAACTACACCTGCAGGCTTAATGACCTTAGAAGTTGACGCACCCCGAAATTAATCTACTTCAGATGGTCTGCAAATCGTCGGCTGGCTTCCGAAAGTATTAACTTACAAGCCACCATTTCGTTTTCTCGGGATTGTGAGCCCATGTCTCTACGTACCGTACGATCCCTACTTTGACTTAAAAAAATCTGCGACAAAATATGGTTTTCGATTTATAATTTCAATGTGGTTCCTGCCCACGCTTGAAAGAGGAGAGCTGAAGGTGAATTAAAATTGTTTGGTGCTGTATACTAATTGTATTTATTATTGGTACTTGCGTACTTGAGTATCGCAACGAAACTGCAATTGTTCGTTTGATCCACTTATAAAAAGGATGTGTGTAACTTAATGTTATGTGCTAGTATTTGGAAGTGCGAATTATTTCGTAAAGTTTGAATCCAGTAACTGATCACTTAAATAAAAAATATTTCAAACGTTATTAATATTTACATGTCATAACGGAGAGCTGATTCAAGATCTGCAGCTTTCTTGTAGTTAAAAAAGCAAGAATATGTATCTTACAAATCTGGTTCTTAAAAGTTTAATTCATGATCCGTACTATGTAAATTTGGGTGTCTATTGTAAATAGAAATATTTGACATTCGAATCGTGGTGAAAAACGTTGATATTTAATCACGGAAGGAATTATAATATTTGAATTTATACTGTACTAAACTGTTTCAACTAATGCCATAACATTTGTATATCAGACTTTTTGGTCCATGCATGTTCCTGTACAGATGTCTTGTTTATATTGCAAGGTATTCACTTCAAATATTTTAACCATACTCTATTAAATAAGGCTTCATTTTAATTCTATTCAAATATCGCCCAAGTTTTTCTATCAGCTACGTTTTTCTTAAATATTTAGTGACAATATGGCTAGATGTCATATATTTACATTTTTATTTTCTGATGGAAAACGTAATCAAGAAAAAAACTTTCTACAAACAATAAGTATAAATTTTATTTTACCGCCTTGAAATATGTGTTTTGGGTATTATTCCGTGCAAATGCATCTCGTGATATTAAAAATTCATGAAATATTAACGTTATCTACGCAAGTTTGTAAAAGTAGTGTAACTGATACTGGAAAATATACCACACTAGTCGTCTAAACAAACGGCTGGAATAGGACTTCGTTTCTGGGTGGAGTGCGAACCTATTTAGCCCTTTGTGTATGTGTGTGTGTGTGTGTGTGTGTGTGTGTGTGTGTGCACTATGAAATTATCATTCTAAACACATATAGTCCAATCGCGGCATTCAGGGTGAACATACATTCTTAGGCCACACGCTCGTTGCACGTAATTTTTAATTGTCATTTTTGCGTTTAAAAACTTAGACTCGTATGTGCCCGTCTTATAAATGGATGTGTGTTTAGACGTTATTTTGGACATATACTTTCTTGAACTGCATCTCGATATCACGGTGATTCAATTGTGCGATTTCTCGCGTAATATTTCGCGTTTTTATTTCTAACTATTTTCAATCTATTCGGAGAGCAATTTCACGTTTTTTGAGTCGCTTGCAATGAAAATTTGCACACATTTTCGATCTATGAACATGAAAATTGGAACGTCGTCCGTTAGGAGAAGAATCTAATCTTGTTCTCGAGCAGGTCTTTTAGACCCCGATAAGTTATTTTTTCCCAAATACTCACGCTCACTCCATGGTACTATTCACTCAAGACATTGCATTTCATTCACCTACTTAATAAATACAATATATACAGACTTTCGGAAAACTCTCCTGCCGTCGAAGTGAAGGTTATTTGCACATCGAGTCTCTTTTATGTTAAACCTCTCTAGAGGCATACTCTCCTCTTAGAGTTGAAGAAACCACTGCTTAGATTGTTGAAATTTATCGAATTCCCTTCCTCTATAAATACTCTCCCTGTTCTTCTGCGGCTAGTGAATGAAGGGCCCACCCTCTGGAATCGATGACACCCGCGGGCCCCAATTATAGAGTGTTCTTGACACCTGCGACAAGCGAAGCCTGCGGGCCCCACGTTATGGAGACACAAGTTAAAGGGAAGTCAAACTGCACTCAGATACAGCACTGCTGTAGGAGTTTATACCCACACACCGCATCCATAGTAGTAAGGCCCGTTAATGTCGGAAAAGGGAAAAACTTGGGAATTGTACTGTCGGAGTGTAGCGCACTCATGCCTTTGAGGAAAAGGTTCGTACCATCCCAAAGGCACAGAAGTGAAGGGATATTAAGGGAACGATGATTCGTAGCGGGTGTCTGCACACCTTACCACAATACAAGTAAACTCCACGCACTCGCCGTATTGGAACCCACGAATCGTCGCAACGAGTTCACTTGAGCCTTAGCGGGTCGACACGGATGGAGACTAAATACCAGCTTACGTGGCTCAGGACATCAATTCTTGGCACGGCAGTGCCTCTGATCAATAGTCTAGGATTAGACTTCCAACAGTGGCACATATATTGACAATAGATACAAAGCTCAGTCAAATACAGCCGCTGTCTGGAGAAGTCTAGCAGCAGGCTGCTCTGATCGCTAGTTCTCCCTGGTTTCTCAGTTCAACACAGGAGAATGCCGGAGCAGAATCCTAACAAACTGGCCACGAACCAGACGAGATTTTTCTTTCCTCTTCCTTGTCCTGTTTTGAGCCATACTTACAAACTTACATGCACTACACAATCGCACATAACTTACATGCACTACACAATCGCACATATCTGCACACCAGAGCTTAAAGCTTGTCTCGTTCGTGGGAGTAGTGTCCACGCAAGCCGACGTGTAGAACGGCGCCAGATCTCGCCAACCAGCGGGAGAAGATCGCCGCCGCCAACTCCTCCCGCGATAAAATGAGCACTAAACTTACGGGACCAGTTGTCTTAGTAGTTGGCACGCCCTTATGCACGAATTAATCAATGAAGCCTTTATGTGAATGTAGGTCTGCATTCGGGCCACGGACCTTAGGCTATCTTTCTCCATCCAGTTCCCTTCTCCTCCCTTAAAACGCTCACAATCGTGCATTAAACAGCCACACACGCCATGACTACCTGTAGGTCGGCACAGGATCTCACGTTCCAGTGGAAGAGGAACACTACCACCTCCCTGTGTATAACGTGTCCTACAATTAAGGGGCAAATGACCGTTGACGTGTCCGGAATCAATACTCACGCCCCTTCGGACCGTGCGAGTTGGCTGCACTAGTCGGACGTTACCTCTGGCTCTCCTGGAACTATCCTGATGTACAGAAGCAGTAAGACGTCGATTGTCGTAAAACTTTCCAAACTTTTGGGGCAATTAAATTGGCACCATTCTAGAATAAATAGGCTCTTGTAATATATAATTTTTATTTCGAGAAATAATCTTGTTAGCAGCTCTTGCAGCGTTTGTCCAGTTTATTTGTGTGAAGCAAATACGATACTAATTGTGTTTGCAACAACACAAATTCATATATTTCAATTCAGTTAATAAGAACTTCAATAAGTTCAAGATCAGCTACTAGCTATCTCGTACACAAGCCCGCCATGAATACTATTCATTTTCTGTTTCAGCCATCCACTTCAGCCATCTCCCGCTGTAAATGCTGAACATCAGAACTTTCAGACGCTGCAATACCACAGCCTGTTAATTTAATATCCTCAGAATGTTTTTTTTGTGAGAAAATGCATTAAATATCAACAGGGTAAGAATATGCTGATAGTTGTACAAATATTTTAAAATTCTAAACAATTCAACGTTCATTTTCGTTTAGATGCTCCTTATTGTTTATTCTTTCCAGTGGAGCAAGGTTTCACACATATATATATGAAAGTAGCCAAATGAAGTAGGCGATATAAATAAGGAATTTAGTTTTTACTCGTATAATATATACATAATTTTACTGCTCTTATTTTTATTAAGTTACTATAAAATATTTTTAATTACTTTAAATTGTGTTAAAATAATTTTAAACATACTTGGCCGTATAACATAAAGTTGTTCATATTGACAGAAAATAGTTCGTTGAGTGAGAAATGTTAGATTGACAGTATGTAAATGAGATGAAAATATACCAATTTTTATTTCAATGTACTATTAAAATCGGAAATTTATGTAGGCATTGCCAGATGTACTGTCTACTCCAAAGCTTTGTACAAAATTTTAAATTTGATGTAACAAATTAAAACTGAATTTTATATTTATGAGATTACCTAGAATCATATTATTACTTATGTATGTATAACTGGTATTGAAAATAAAGGTTTCATCCATAAACAGCTATTATGTGAATAATGGAATCCTTGGTTCACAATTTCCTATTATTTTCCATACCCGTTACATTTTCACTTAACGAGACTTGCCTAAATGTAAAATAAATTGAAACTCTGACATTCCACCGACGAGATAAAACCATATTTATTTAAATAGTTTAATCCTCTGCCTGGAATTTGATTTTATTTTCAGAAATGTTTACTAATAAAGCAAAAATTTCAAAAGGCAAAAGTTATTTCATATAAATTGTTGAATTGAGCGAAAACGAAATAATTCTGAATGGAAGGGACGCTAGTAAAAATAATTGCTTTTCTCCTCCTCTCAAATGCTATGAAATTATTTGATAATGCAGTAAGTTTCTGTAAAATATTTGCATGATTTCTTTCGAAATTCTTACATATTAATGTTACACACGCCTCAGAACTGTTAGTTCAATTCAATCAATATTCGGGTACTACATACCAGCATACAATATCATTTTACACAATTTTAATGTTTGAGGTATACATTACATACTGTTTTTAGGAAGAACTGCTGCATCCAAAAGGGAATCCAAATGTGAAGTATTTCACAAAGAATAGCATCCCAGCAATTTCGAAACACAAATCTCTACCATTAAATTGCTTTGATCACTCGATCTTCACACAAGTTTACAACTGTAGAAACAAGACTATTGAAACCTACTCAAGAAATCACCGACTGCAAAAATTGGCTTTTAATCGAGGATGTTGCTTAATCACAATTATAAGGTTATTGAAGCCATCAATCAAATCTAAATGCGATAATTGCCGTGAACTTTTATTTAATTTTTTTATTAGCATAAATGACCAAATATAACTTAAAGAAGGTATTGTGGATCATTTGCAACGCAGCTAATATCAAAATGCACCCTTGACTACTCACTCATTCTCTTCGTCGAAAATCACTTTCCGTCTCCGTCCAGACGATCCAAGTCAAATAGTCTTAAAACGTTATTTACAAGCCCGTCAGGCGAATGCCGTAGCAGTATCCTATCGAACGGGCCACGGGCCACGGGCCGTCTTCCCATTCCTTGTCCTATCATCACCCCTTACACATACATGTAGTACACCACCACACATGCCGGGAGACCAGTAGAGAGCATAGAGCTTGTCCCATTTGGGGCGGATCCCCGCTGGTGGGTGATACCTGGTTGGGAAAACCATGCTAGCCGACAGAAGGTCGGCGTCGGATCTCACCATCCAGCGGGGAAAGTTTACCGCCACCTCACGAGCAAAAAATGTACTACACTTACATGACTAATGGCCTTAGCAGTTGACGAGATCAGAATCACTAGTTACCAATCACTGAAACAAGTTACCTCCCTTGTAAATCTGTGGATGACATACTGTTCGAGGTAATCAGACAATTCACCTCGCCACAGGAAGATATTAAATCAATGTAATTCCCGCCCCCTTCAGCGGTTCGTAGTGGGCCCTGCATACGAGTTTTGCGTTGACACGCGTTCAGTAATGTAAAAGCGTTGTTACGCGAAACGCCACACGGGCGCTTACCATAACAAACGGACCACTGACCGCGCGCGATCTTTCTTTTCTCTCCCCTGTCTTATCAATCACCCCTTACTTACACACTAACCGTCACTTGTATTATACTATCACACTTATCGAGAGCTTCGAGTTTGTCCCGGCTGGAGCGGTACGCCGCTGGTGGAAGATTCGTAGTTGAGGAAAATTCCCCCATAAGCCGACGTAGGTCTCGCCTGCAAGCGGGGAAGATCACCACCTCTTCCCACGATGCACATCTGCACTACACGTACAAGGCTAACGAGCTTAATAGTTGGTACAAGGACTCAAATCAATCAATCAATCAGTTCTACGAAAAGATGGCTGCATAATAATGGTTTTGCATAATAATGGCAGTTTGTTTAGGTCTTACTGTAGTAAAGTGAAGTCGAAAGAACCGGGAATGAAATCATTTATAACTTTTTCTCACTCGTAGCGTCGTGGACATTTCGTTCTGGACCCGTCCCTCTGGACTTCTCACCATGTCGTTTCAGCGGCTGACCTACGAGCCCATACCAGCTCGGCACCCAGCCCGCGCGTCGCTTCGCCAGCCCGGCCTTGCCCTCCACAGTCCCTCCCCCACACAACATGTGCGGAGGGCCAGCCTCAAGACACGCGACCCGCCGGGGATAAAAGAGAAGCTGCTGATGCTCACCACTGAGCGCAGCACAGTATGGGACGTGCGTTTGCATACATTTCAAAAATTGCATTTACAAAAAAAAATATTAACACTTAGATAATTTATATATTTTATTTTAGTAATTTAAGATTGCTTGTGGACCATGATATTTCATTTAAAAACACTTCAATATACCCAGCCAAATGTTTTCACGTAATGTTCAGAAAAATCATACTTCCTATTAGGATGTTATATATTATACAAAAAGTCATAATTCAATAAAGTCATAATGTTACCAGAAATTTGAAATATGGATTCAACTTAGAAATGGCTATCAGAATCACAACTTGTTTCTTCAGAAACGAAACAGATTTTTTTCTAGACCAGTGTAATTAATGTAAAATATTACAATACAACAATGGTGTTTAATAATTGTTGCACAAAATTCATGTAAATTCCACCATTAGTATATTTGTCTCGTCCTTCTTTAGCACATAAGTGCAAATTTCCGCAAAAGCGAAAATTACTACTTTTCAAATGTTCCTAAACTGGCTGTGAATGTTGATACATTTATTCTTTATTCAACTATACAGTGAGGGGTGGGAAAGGTTCTGGAATTCAAGAAAATGGGCAAAGATTACAATTGCAGCTGGCGCCCTAACAATCTTAGGGTAGTCTTTTTCGGTCTTTTTCATCATTAGTTTCCCCTCCTGCCACCAATCTCTAACAAGCTGAAAAAATACTTGCTGCTCCATTGATTGAAGGAAATATAATTAATATAATTTACTAAATTCAAAACACTAATAAGAATCAAACGTATGCAATACATGTTCAGTTCTATACTCAAACACTATATCCATAATTGTATCCTTGGTGTTTGTGTCAGTTATGTTGTTCCCCTACCGCGCACATGCTTCTGACTGATTTCCAGTGGGCATTGGAGTTTTTGCGTTAGCACTGTATTGATACAATTCACGGTAATAGAATTCACACAAATCAAAACGAACATGGATTCGAAAATACGCCGATAGCCTTCCAGTATTTTGCAACAAGCAGGATTGTTTGGTCACGTTTTTAAACTAGTTCGTTTCCTGATCCTGGTAGTTATTCCTGTTACTAGTCGTGATAAAAAATTAAATTATTTATTTCTAAAATTTGAGTATTCTGACATACATTGCTATAATACAAGATCTTACTCACTCACACACACACACATTCGTATTCACAACAACATTCGCATAGTAACAGCCAGTGCTGCCGGAAAATGGTTACACAAACCATGAGGGACAAAATGGCTCCATATTCCAGAACATCAAACTTCATACCAAGGACTAATCAAATGTACATTTTGAATCAACAAAACTATAATCAAATGAAAATAACCCCAACTATCATAAATAATATATTGAACACCGTCAATAATTAACTGAATTTGTGTAGTTTCAATAACACGCGAAATTCATAAAATTAAGTTGCAGCTACTTTCAGTCGAAGATAGAAAATTGGTGTTCCCCTCGGACGGCGTGGCGCACTCGGCGATCGGACCACCCACTCCTCTGTAAGAGTTGCTGCTTGCAGTGTGAAAACAACCATGTTGAAGCAGAGGCCAAAAATTAATCGCAGTAAAAATGCTGAAGAGAGTGACATGGGGTACTGCCTGGGAGAGCACCGGACCCCGAAGAGAAGGTTCGTTGTGCACTCTTGGATTTCGAAATATTTTCATATACATCGTTATTGCTGAAATAGCGTGAATATTTATTGTTATTTAAAGAAAAAATTATATTCTTCTAACATAAACAATAATTTTTTTGATTATCCGGGGTTGTGCAGCCACGAAACCTAACCATGAACAGGCAGATTATATTTCTCCTCCATACATCACAAACAAATGTTTACTTTTTTAACGAAAAATAAAACATAAATAATCAGATCATAACAAACACATTTAATTTATAGTTTTATTTCAATACGATCAAATTAGGAAAATATTCGATCAAAGCATTTTCCTCGGAATATTTCTTCGACATAGTTTTGAAAGCACTAGTTATTGAGCAATGTCGATCTAGTAAAAAGGTTCAGATAGGAGACTTTTCATTTCCAAGATAATTTCTATGAGCTCATTTGCTCCACAGATAACTTTTTTCTACCTGCCCGAAATTCAAGAGAAACGTGAACAACCTGCGGGATATACATCGTTATTCAATAATCGATAGACGCGTTCCTTTTCAAAAGCACCCTTAAGCTTGAGCAAAATAAAAGGATACGTATTAGATTTTTAACGAACGCCTATAAATAGCTGGATCGATCCAAAGGCGTAATTCGAGAACAGATCGGCTTCAACGAAGAACAAATCCTGGAAAATAAATGATGGAACGCGAAAGTTTTGGCCGAAAAAAAGTACTATTTTTAACCGACGATCTCATGCGTCAAAAGGAAGTGTGTGTACTTTGCCGAACTGCGTTTCACTTCTCCAACTTTGTCTTTAGACAGAGCCTTGCATTTTTAGACGAGATGTCACGAAGCGCTCTTTCTGTACTGACTCTAAAGGACAGGTTCCACATAATGCGGGTCAAGCATTGTAAAATGAAAATTAATTAAAATATTCAGATTCATGCCCAGGGCTCATGTGAATACTGAATGAGCATGGCTTAGAATATTGAAGGACAATAATTATGAAACATGTAGTGACATTTGAACGGAGGTTAAACAAATATTAAAAGAAACAAGCATTCAAAATGACACCCTTTTTTGTGAAAAATAAATGTCAATTTCAGTTCACGAAAACTATTTAAAGATATTCCACTCACAAGTAACAAGTTTTAACACGTGTTTCCGGCTAGTTCC